GGTCCCCCTTCTGATAAAAATATTAGTTTGAATAATATCTCTTTTTCTTAAGTAAGCCACTGGATTGTAAATAAAACGTCTTAAAACTATTTTATCTTTTTTTTATCTCCATCAATAAGCGAATGATAAGAGATATAAACCGGCAAGGTTTTAGAAGTACCCTGCATCTTTTAATCCAATCTAGCGTAGATCTAATTCCGCCATTAATCAAGATGATAAAATTCAGAACAGGATTCGTATCTCCCAAACTATTCCCTGTAATATCGACAAAAAAGAAACACAATTTACAGGGTGAGTCAACGATAAACTTCATTATCTCATTGGTTTGAAAAGTTATGAGACAATGGCAAATACATAAATTGTAAAGATTGGTAGGATATGCGTTACTCGAAGATGAAGTAAAAGATATGAAACGGAATTTGAATTAAATACTACGATGGTATACAACGAATATATTTGGATAATTTTCAATGAATAAATCTCGATTTTCTTAAATAGCACAACATATATATTATTATTTTTATGAAAGATCTTACAAAAAATTACAACTTTTATCAATGATGTCATATACCTCTTTTTAATTCTTTACAATTTATTTTAAAATTTCTGTCTAAGACTATTGCTATAACATTAGTTGGCCACGACAAAATGACATTGCCACATTTTTACCTGACAACGTATTGTGGTGTCAGTAAATTAACAAAAAAACTAAGTATGGTTTTTCCTAAATCTTAATTAATTAATATGATTTGTACAATGGGTGAAGCGGAAAAAATACTTTGTTAGCAGTAAGACTTTACAAAGGCGAAGTACCCTAATACCAACTAGACAATCTCTTCAGTGTTTAAAGCAACGGTTTGCAGAATGATTTACCTCAACTTCTCAAAGAAGTCGATAACATTCTGGTTTCAGCAAGATGGAGCTTCTCCGCATTACCCACAGAAATGAATTGGTCATTGGATAGCTCCTTCGATCATGTGACTTAATAATAATAGATTTTTTTGTGTGGGGATATGCTAAGAAACATCAAAGGCAATAAAGGACAATGCTAACATTGCCCCATAATAATAATGAAAAATAACGTCATGTTTGTTGTAGTAATAGGTATTTAATATTATTTATTTTTTCAGAGAATTTAAAATTTTATCTAGATCTATCTATCTGCTATATATATATGTATATATATATATATATATATATATATATATATATATATATATATATATATATATATATATATATATATATATATATATATACCATTCCACTTAAGAAAATATATAATCGTTTATTTTGAGCACTCTGAACAATCTAATTCAAATTCCGTTCCATATATCTTCGAATACGACGAATACACATCTTCGAATACGAATGTGTAATCTATCTTTAAAAATAAATATGAAATAAGTGTGAAAACTAGTATTTTATTAAGAAAAATTATAATATAGGGAAAACTAGTAGGTTTAGATTAGATTAGAGAATTTAGATTTAGATTATTATAAATAAAAAAGTTGAATAATTTCAAAGCGAATTCAAAAGACAATTAAAAAATATGGTGTTTCATTTAAAAAAGTGCATATTTAATTCTTCACGCTTTTTCTAAGATTTCTATACTATAAAATAATAAATAAAATAATTTCAAATTGTGCATCTTAACAATCTTTTGTAACTTTCATAACTTTTGTATTTACCATTTTCTCATCACTTTTGAAACCAATGAGATAATGAATTTTACTCTGTTGTCGACTCACCCTGTACATAAATCTTATAGTTTTGAGTAGGTGTAGGTGTTGCTTCTCACCCTGGCATCGCTTAAATTTCACTCAAAATCGTGGAGACTTGAAATGAACTCTCGCTAAGCGGGTTACACAAAAGAGAAAACAAAACTCAACAAAAGAATTCCGAAACAAATTGTTTAAGAAAATAATTAACGCAATAATTCCGACACGAAATAACAAGCTATTGCGCGCCCGGCGCGGAAAATATTATCTTTCCATGCTTTATCTAATGAATCTTCGTAAATTATGATCGTCCGTTACTTTTTGCTGAATTCACAGTCGTTCCGATTTATTTTCCCTCGTACTAATTACCTGTCCGGCCGTAGCGGCTAAACGGAATGAAAATTATTAAAGTATAAAAGCCCGGGGGACCGGAGAAATTAATTGTTGAATATTTCACAAGAGCAATATCCAAATTAAATATTTACATTACGCGAAGCTTTGCGATATCCGTTGATCGCTTTTATCACACACTCGATCGCGGGGGATTCACACCTTCAACGTCGAGATTTTAAGTGTAAATACAAAAGTTCGCCAGTTTCCTTTCGCGCCAGTTTGAAAATCGGGAACAATGTGGACTTTATTAAAAGTTTGTATCCATGTTTGTTGCTCGTTTATCCGTTCAGTCATTTACATCTTTGTTTGGAGCAACAGATTTACGAAATCCGCTTTCGGCTTAAAACGGACACAATGACGTCAAGAGGGCAACTTTAAATGGAAAGTCTATTGTTTCCACTCCTCAAAACTAGCGTCGCTCGTCATCATCGTTACTATTCAACTGGCGGATTGTGGGACTTTAACTTCGCTGTTTTAAAACCTTTTCTCTTTGTTTATTTATTTATGAAAAGGTTTTATTTTTGTGAAATTTACCACTTTTGTCTATTTAATAATAGTAATAATAAAAATGTAGGGACAGTAAAAATTAAAAAAGGAATTTCCCAGGGGGATGCGCTGATCTATGGTTTTGTTTAGTATTACGACCCCCAACCTCACTTCTCAATAAAGAGCGGAAAGGTTATATATTCGAACAAGGCGAGGAACAACAGTTGTGTCACTAATGGTATACGGCTGATCTTAAACTGTTCGCAAACACTAAGAACCACTTGCACGACCTGCTCGCATGTGTTGATAGATTCGGTACTGATATACAAATGCAGTTTGGGTTGGACAAGCGCGGAATAAGCTGCATAGAAAAGGGCAAATGGATAGAACAAGATGAAACTCTCGGCAACAGCTGTCAACTTCTTCGGTACTTGCCTACAGTATCGGTATTATCAAATGGACCCCTACAGAGTTGGAAGTACTGAACACTTTACTCGCAAAGAATTTAGCACATCGTCCTCAGTCAGTGATAGAAAGCTTCCATTTATTACGGAAGCAGGGAGGAAGAGGCATACCTATTATCGCCGACAGACGTGCTCGACACCTGAGAAAATATTTCGATGAAATATCAAGAACAAACCAACTTCATCGGGCAGTAGTGAGCGCTGACAGGAATCTAAAACCACTGAAGTTATTGGATAAAAACTTTGGTTCCGCCAGAACAACTTAAAAACCAATAGAAACGTAAATCGTTGCACCGGAGATACCCCCACACTATCGAGAGTGAGGAGATGGACACTATTGCGTGGTCGACCCATTTAAGAACGGGAAATATATCCTGCGAGATCCTGCGTGATCAGATCCAGAATGATTGATGTCGTATGTGTGAAGATAAGAAAGAGTATCTAGGCTCAAATTTATGAACATACAAGACACTTTCAGTATGTACCAATGTCAATCTGTGAAGATGAAAAGGTACGTCTGTATTGGGGAAGAACAATTCTTACCGACCGTCCAATTCCAGATATTATACTTAACTTAAAGAAGGAGAAAATAAGCTACATTTTGAACATCGCTGTATCACCACCCAACAACATAGGGAAAAAATACGCAGAAAAAATAAATAAATACTTGCCGTTAGCTGATGAAATTAAGATGTGAAAGATGGAGAGAGTAGTGGTGATTTCAATAATAATCGGAGCTACAGGCCAAATCCAAAAAACTCTGGATGAAATGTTGAAGGGGTTACATCTAGAACCTAAATATTACTTGCCAATTCAAAAATCGACACATGCAATATTGTGAGGAGAATCCTTGGAATGCAGGAGTAAACACATTTTCAATACCATCAAAAAGCCAACCACCTTGTCAGCGGGCGGATGTGACAGCTTGAAGCACCAAGAAACCCGTGAAATTGTGAACAATAATGATAATAGTAATAATAATAATAATAACAATATTAATAAAGTTAATTATACTAAAACTTCAAAGAATGCATCCCACAGCATTTTCCAAGGGAGGGTCGTAAATTCATGCTTCATTTAGATGGAAATAGAAACATCATTTATTTTATTTTTACTAAATTGTAAATAGAAACATCATTTATTTTATTTTTACTAATTGTAACCGTCGCCTGGTAGGAAAAACAAATGTAAAAAACTACTATTTGTGCTTTGGTACAGTTAACGGATGTGGTTTATGAAGATATGGTGGACATTGTGATTTAATTATCTTATAAAGGAGACAGTGCAAATCTCAAAAAATATATTTTAGGGTTCTGACGAGCTTCTTCTTCTATATAGTAGTTGCTTTTATACACCCCTGAATATGAACTTTTAAAAGATTGAGACAAGTACAATCGTCGTCTAAATTGTCCACTAATGAGGCAGGTTAATAGAATTTCATGAAGGAAGACAGTTTATTTTTAATTGGTATTTAAATTATGTTTGAAAATTTTAATTTAACTTGTGGCACTTACATTTTTATTCGAGTTTTTAATACTATACTAATGACGCAAAAGTTGATTTTGGTTACTTTTTGGTTACCGATTTTTTGGACATCACGTAGGTAATAGCCATTTGAAAGTGAAGTAATTTTTTCTATTTGGTACTTTAAAATAGTAAAAGTTTCCATTACTATAGCCACTTTTGGTACTTTTACATGTCATTTCTAACGGCCAGGTCACACATTCTGCGAATGTGCAATTTTTCAAATACTATGGTCGTTTATTAAAGAATATCTACGCTGTCAATTAAAACTCGTGATTAAAGTAGCGTTTATAAAACTTGTTGCCTAATATGCTAACGGGGTGTAGTATTCTACCTCTCGAAATGATACAGAATAAATAATAAAATTTTTGGATGATAAAATAATTTACTGACGATATTTTGTTTGTTGCAGCGTACTTTTGGCACATAACGGACATACATTACGACGGCCATTTTAATTCCCACGCCGACATTAGAAAAGGTAAGCGCTTGTTCATTTAATTAATGGAGTTTTCATACAAAGCGGAATTTAATAATAAACTGCTGAAAAACTTTGCAGCATATGGAGGGCAAACGGTACATTCTCTCCGTTCCCCGCTTAAGAGCATTTTGCTTAAATTATCTCCCGACGAACCTTGGGAAGGTATTATGTTATCCCAACAATTTTTTGCAAACAAATAAGGCGATTATGAGAGCTACCCCAAATGTGATACTCTCTTAATTTGAAAAATTGCAAAGGTCAACCAGCAGCGTCGATAATAAATTATATCTCGGCAAATTAAAGAAAAACAACGTCTCCAATCAAAAGCCTTGCTCCGTTATTCCCGGATATCGTTGGACGAAATAAAAACTAATATCTCTATTTAATGCCATAATTCTCTTCTTCCTTTTAGCCATATTCTTTAAATCATATAAATCGAATTGAAATATGTTCGTAAACACAGAAAATACCAATTTAGAGAAGCAAATTGTAAAGCCTTTATGGTCCTCCAATAAAGGCAGAAATGAAGTTGCAAAACGCACAAAATTAGATCGCAAGAATAGAATCACTCCCGAGGAGAAGCGGAGAATGCGCAGCGCTGTCAAATGTACCAGGCCAATCGGTGCGCTAGAAATTTGTTTGTTTGTAACTTGGCGCCAAGCCATTGTAATGTTTATACATTGTATTTTTTTCTTTCAAAGGTAAATTTTAATATGTACACCGTGTGCCAAATAAAACAATAAATAAACAATCTGGAAACCCCTTGAATATTTATAATATTATAATTTTGTTGATATAGGGGGTCCCAAAACTGTAACCTCCCCGACATCAACTTTGTTATTTTAAATTGAACACCCTGTATATTTCGACTTTTTTTGAATTCTTGGTTAAAATAAAGGTCATTTTCTTAAAAAATTCCTATTCCAATTTTGCATAGTTTAGGCAGAAATTGGGATTAGGTGTTTTTTTCATATTTTGATAGCCCCAAATAAAAATTGTGTTGTGACGCTACTGATGCAGGTATTGCAACGAAAATTTAACCACAGACGAAGGAGATGATACACTACTCAATCAGTTTGACAGATGCGCCTCAGCTTATACAGGGTGTCCCAAATAGGTGGTGCCGAATTTAATTAACAAAATCTCAAGATTTTCAAATGGAATACCCTATATTTTCATTCAGATATCAATTATAGGTGTTTGACGTATTCAAGGTTTAAGATAACACCCGCATAAATTCTTGTTATATCAATAGATAACATCAACAGATTTATAACATGTTAAAGCGTCATGGGAGTCCAAGAAACTTTTGTAGGAAACTTTTTTTCGTATCTCCTATGGTTTTCCTAATTTTATTTCACACACGGTGTACCTAAGCGAATAAGTTGATAGTTTGCTCGACTTTGTGGTTACTGTACGCTTACAATTGAATAGTCTCTTGCGGAACTTAGATCTACAGATTATTTACCATTTGCGAAATAAACATGAATTCCAAGCTAGTAGAAAACCAGTAAATTCTACACGGCATAAGAGGTGGTACCACGAATAATGGATAAGATAGTATCACCAGTTGCTAATTCTTCAGCATCGTTAACATTATTCAAGTTATTCTCCCATAATAACAAATTATAATTATCCTTTATAAAGATTACATTTGTAAAGCAACCAAAATAAGTTTTAAAATGACTAAATTATCGTTTTTAATTCAAATTATTTCTGTAAACATAGCGTTCTTGTCTACGGATTGGTTGTCTTAACCCATCCTATATAACACTATCCACTGTGCCAAACCCTGTATAATTGACAACAACCGCAATCTGTCTCTTCAAGGTCCTTCCCCCCTCAATTAGGCAAAGTAATGGTGGCGGCGTTAAGCCCCGCCCCTGTCCGAATCTGAATCCATCGTCACTGCATTCGTACTATATAGCTGGTTAGGATTCACATCCGGGCAATTTCTCATTTTTTCCCTAATGGACTGCCGCCGGTCCCGGCGGTAGCTGTATATAAAGCTTATCCTCCTTTATTCTGACAGAGTAATTAACTAAAAAGTGAAATAAGACCGGTTAATTCGTCTCCGCGCTCAGACTCCGCGCGTCCGCTTTCATCCCGATGATGACGCGTTTTACAACGCTGGGCGTATATTTACTTACTTCCGCGTTCTCAAAGACACATCGGGAAGTACTTTTTGCTACGCGCCGTTTCGAATGAAAACCCGAATCCGTGTGACTGTTGACTAAGGGTAACAAAAGGACGAGAGCTCTTTAGATATCTTTGGCGAGAGTCCAAATAATGGGAAACGAGTGGCCGTTGTTTAGCTTTTCCATGGCACGAATAAAATTCGCGGTGGGAGGGTCTAACAACTATGCTAAATTAGTCTTCTAGTCAAAGTTGCAAACTTGTTACTTTCGAAAAATCGATGAAATTGAATTTTTCGTAAGTATACGCGCTTGGTAACGACACTCGTGTGTCGGAAACGGTGCGTAGTACAGCGTTGCCATTGGTACAGATGGAATCAGCGTCGAAAAAAAACCTTTTTCATTTTTTGTCTACTTCTCCGTTTCTCTGTTTTCTGTTCTCCGGTTTTTTTGTAGACGTGGTATTAATTGGCTTTTGAACAATTTGCCACCGTCTTCAAATTTGGTTCCTTACAGCCATTCGATGAGACACATAAGACAATAAGAAATGGCTGAGATCGGACCCCGGCCACCATCTTTTTTTTTTCCGATTTTCGGCTGTTTTTTGGACATTCCTATGAAACACGATAAGTGTCCGAAATTTGAAGCTATTCACTTCAAATTTGCACTCAAATAACGGAACGTATTGAAATTGGGGAGGATGGGGGGTCGGGAAGTATTTAAAAAAAAATAAAAACCGCGTTTGCATGGACCTAAGAAAAAAATCATTTCTCTAAAAGGGTGTACGAGATCGAAATAAATTGTTCACCACAACGTCCGCAAGACCAAATGCAATAAACTTTTATTCTTGACATTTTATAAAAATGTACAGGGTGTGGACAGTATTCGCAAAAAACTGAAAATGGGGTTTCCCTTTTAATGAAAATTTATCATAACTAGAAGACTACGATTCAGAAGTCAATTTGTTTTACACCAGAATATAACTCGTATAGCCAGCTAAGACTTTTGCATTTAAGGTTTTCACCGATTGTACAGGGTGTTCGCGATACACCGTGCAAAATTATAAAACGTAATATGTGCTCTAAATTTGCAACTACCGACTTCAGATTTAGCAGACAAGCAGAAGTCCAGACCCACATTTAAACCATTACATTGGGTGCAATCAAGTGGTGCAAAGTATTTTCTAAAAAATTTTTAAATTTTTTTTGTAGTTATTTTGGTTTCTAGGAAAAAAAAATTCTCGAAAACCATTATTCCGATCGGCAAAATTGTTTAACGAGCAGACACGAAAGATCCAGTACTATAACTTTTATTTCTAGCATTTTTTTGATTATATACAGGATTTTTCAGTTATGGACAAAAACCGAAAAGACCCTGAAAATTGACCGTTTCCAGAGAAAATCAGCCGTAAATCAAAATTCTTAAAAAATGTGGGTAATTGTGGTTTAAGCAGTGTAATAGGGCATATCGAGAGCAATAATTTTCGTATTTGCGGTTTTCGTTTATCACATCCTCTGTTCGAGATGTTTGAAAAAATCCAAATGAAAATCACCATTTCTCGCCCTCATTTAGACGCGATGCGATGGCTTCATTTACTTTTATGACGACTGCATGGTTTCAGAAAATAACTATTTTCTCTGAAGCTATTTACTTAATTGAAATAATTCATATACCAGAAGACGCTATAAAATCTATTTCGAAGATTGTTTGAATTATATACATGGTTTGTCGTTTATGGGCAAACAAAATTGAAAACATCTTAAAACTTTCCGTTTTTGTGGGTAAATTATTGGCGATAAATTAAAAACTATTAAAATATCGTAACAGTGTCGTAAACTGTGTTGAGAGAGAGTTTCAGTTTTCGTCTATAGTACAGGGTGGGTGAGACATTTGAAAAAATATAATTAAAATCGCAATTACCAGAACAATTTTTAATATTTACCAAAGTTTGCCATAAGTTTGAAGTTTGACGAGATGTGAAAAGCACTTTATGCAGGGTGCATGCACAATTCAATTACATCGATTTTGCGAAAGTTCCATAGTGGCCCCCAGGAGCACGGTAGAAAAACAATGCGTCCCTAAAAGACAAAAACCGGCAATTTTCTTCTCTTTGTAATAAGTCTGGTCCGCGCTACACGCTATTAAGTTTCCCCGCCCAGCGACAATTTTTTTTATATTATTATAAGGAAGGAAATAATCTTTTGCACTAGTCTACATTTTGCAAATCTATCAAAATGACTTAACTTACATCTTTTTAAATATAAGATATATTTTAATTTTAAGAATTTGATTTCAAAAATACATAGTTTTCCTATATTATTTTCAGGCGGTTTTCCAATATTCACATTTAAATTTTATGTGAAATTTGCGTACCTTTAATAACATATCATTGTTTCAGCGAACATTTCGTCAGATTAATTCTGGTAAAAGAATACTATATATACAAATTTATCATTAGAAAATTTGAACCAGCTAGAACTTTAGAAACAAAGAGATGACATTTTGTAAAAAAAACGCCAATTGAGCGTTCCGACCATTTTTTTTAATAAATCGACATATACCATTCACAAAATGCTAAAAATATACGGATACAGGACATATCGACTTTTAGTTGTTCAAAATTTAAGTGAGGAACAAAAAAGGCAAGACCATAATTTTGTCACGAAATCTTAAGAAACAAACGAAAAGAATCAGTTTCTTTTTATGAATATGTTATTAACAGAAGAAGCAACATTTGGCATTTAATAGGAAAAACCAACATCATGCTACCGAAAACCCTAGCAGACAAACATTAACTTGTTAAAGTCCATGGACGAGCCTCTTTTCATGTTTGGTGTGGCATGATAAGGAATAAATGAAATAAAATACTTGCTACTTTTGGAAGAGATTAATTAACAACTATCTAAATAAGATAAACGCAATCACAAATTATGTGAATAAAAGATTCTACATTTGAATTGGCAGAACGGGGGTTATACGGCGGCCAGCTATTAGCCTCGTCCTCATTCCATTAGACATATAGAGTTTTTTGAATAACAAAGCTTGGTATATTCGGAAGAAATGCTTCGAAAAATGCAAAATATCAACACGATAAGTAGGAAATTTTACTCCAACTCTCGGACCACACACGACGATGCGGAATTAAACCACCAAAGACTTGGCCTATAAATGAAACGAAATCGCACAACTATGAGTCGGAGTTAAAATTGGATCCACTTCTCTTGCAGACCCGATGTAATATCCTGTATCCCGTCAGACTTCTTTTTCTCAAAATAAATGCTTTTTCCTTGAATTCTAATCGTGTGCGTTTAAAAGCTATTTGAATTTGCAGGTAAATAAGTACTGGATATGACACAAGGTGGATGACTAGAAAAACTTGATATAAGCTAAAATTAAACCAGCGAATTAAAGAAACGGAATTTCCCTATTGACGGTTCTTAAAACACCTTTCAAGTGCGTTTGGTTTTGTTAGTAATTATAATATATAATAATGAACAATGGTTATTTTAATTACAATTAATATTTTTTTGTTTTAACACTGCTACTGCTTGCAGAAACGGCTTGGTTGACTGGTTTTGCGGCTTATATCCCTTATTAATAAAACTTGAGCATGTGCCAAACACAAATTTGGTTCCTAAGTTCCTATAATCGTGAGTTTCAGTGAAATACTGATTACACCACTGCTCAAAAAATACTATCCAGACCTACACATTTTCGATAGCAAAAATGCAAAGGGTGTCCAAAAATGTAAAGTTTTCAGAATCACCCTGTGTCTAAAAATCCTAGATAGCTATGAGATTTCTCTTTCTGGTTCCTTTCCTTGGGTCTCGAAGCTGTAACACGCCAGCTGCATTAATTAGAAAAGTTCGTCGTGAAACCATCATAAATAGGACAAGCTATACAGTGTGGCCACATAAAAATGCAATTATTTTGGACCTAGAATAGATTTATGATATAGAAGTTTTAAATTTTGTGATTGAATACAGAGGTTTGCGAAAAATCGCACTCTAACAATTAGAAACATTATTAAATAAATTAAAATTTTTAAATTTCGTTCAGTCATTTAGTAATTACAATTGTCATATTAAAAAGAAACATTAAATCACCGCACCCCCCTCAAAAACGACTGGAATAAAGTTTGACTTGAAAAAGCTTTCCATGTTTTTTTGATAGATTTAAGAGAAAAATCACTTTCAAAATTTGAGATGGCCTGGCGAACATCTTTGAGACCTAAATATAGTTTTCGCGGTCTTGTTTTCTTTACCGCAAGCAGTCTCCGAGATATATTACTTTATTTATTATACAATTTTATATTTGGCCACCCTACATGTACATCTAAACTATACTGGTGGAAAAGAGACATTTTGACAGATTATCGATGGTATTTTATTAGAATATTATTGCTAACGTTTGTGGTCAACTTATAGGTAAGAAATATATAGGGCAGTCCGTAAGAAATGCACCAAAAAGAAATCGAACTGAGGTGATGTTAATGAGACCAGGAATGGTAAGGTTTAGTTCTCGAAATTGTTATTAGCTGGCGATTTCTATTTTTGCGCATTATGTATAGAGGGCAACTTTCAATGTTAGACCGTTTCCTTATTTTTTGTTGTAAATTATAATATAGTGGTGATTTGTAAAAATGGTATATAGTATTTATTTCGAGAAAACACACCGTTTCCAAGTCATATCACTAGCTTAAAAATACCGTTTTGTCATTAGCATTGATATTCATCAACGTAAATCAATTTTTTTAACGTTATTTTAAAACGAAAAAAAAAACTTCAACTGTCTAGCTGTAGTAAATATTCCAATGGTGAAACGAACAATATAATTTGCATTTATGCTCAAAAAACTTTAACGGTCCTGCTACAGTATCAATATCCAATAAGCAGTACAGCATTACATTGGGTGTCCCGTAGAATAAGATGAAGGAATAAGAATGTTGCTATGCACCGCGGATCGCTGCTGAGAAAGTGTACCACAATAACATTGTATAATTATATCAACAGCCTTACAGTTTTGCTTTCTTCCGATTAACTGCATGAAATACGAACCCCTCTATGGTCGACTTAAAATTTCCATTCATGGCTGCAACTTTTGACGTATTTCACGGCCACGTGATTAACAAAGTAGCAATACACATCTACATAATCTAGATTATTCACCAACCACAATTTCCGAATACAAATGTATGGTCGAAAATTTTAGCCTATGCAAACGTGGCGTCCGCCATATCGGACAAGTTTCGAAGCAAATTTACCGCAGCATGTACTCGTAATTTGCACCGTGTTTTATTTGGTCCGTACTTATTTGGCCACATTAGCAGAGATAATTTTACGTGGTGTACTTTATAGTCCGGCGTAACTGTTGATTGGGAGTAACTGGTCGGCTTGGATGTGGTTTAATCCATTTTGCATCATGCAAATACTGATTTTAAACGTGACGCGTCTGTAGAGTGCCCGCTCTCGTTTATACGTTTTTCTTCTAATTTTACAAAAACATAAATTTCGAACGGAAAGTTCGGTGTCGGGTGTTGGGGTCAGTTGTCTTTCCAATGTAATTGGTACTTTCATTGTCGCAGGCTGTTGGAGGCCGGAGTACGATGGGAACAACGGAAAGAGGCCGCAAAGGAAACCTTTAGGGCCCTATGGCGATTACAGTTGCGACTCCACATGGGAGCTAATAGAGTCCGCTTCTAGAACCATGATGAGTCGGCAGAGCGACAACGTGGAGTTCGTTTTATGGACGGGGTGAGCTCTAGGTTGAGATTTATTCGTATCTAGGAAATCTGAACGGAACCTTTTAAAACGTATTTTAAACCAGGTGGTATGTTGTTATGGGTTTTATTATGACCTTCAGATTAATTTGAGACGGAAATTAATGTGTATGGAATTATGAGTTCTAAAGGAACAAGAATGTTTACTTTTTACAAAAGTTCTGGATTCCTCCTACGTCGGTTTTTGCTCCTTATCCGCTTATAAAATTCATCGAAAATTTAGTTTAGCATTACTTCGAGAAAGAATTCATCGTACCCGTAAGGAAGTGGACCAAATCAATAGGGCTCTTCTGTCTCTACAACTTGAAATTTCGTCCATCTTGTTCCCATCAGAGTTCGATACCCTTTCACAGATGATTCATAACAAAGCTTTAAATCTTCGTTTATCTACTACCCAAAATCACATTCGGAAATTTGAAAAACTAATATCAACACTAGGAAATCTAACACACTGTAATAAATGTAATAAATGTCACCAACTTTCGGAAACGGAAAAATTAGTTCTTTCAAAAGGTTCCAAGTTCGTCCTTGCGCCACGTATTGTCCCAAAAGATAAAATCATTTCAAATGTCGAGTATACCCTAAACAAACAGCTAATGAAATTCGATTCGAAACCGCAAAAATTCTGAAAAAATCATAACTCCAAAATCCAAAGCCTGCACGCATTACCCTAAAATCAGACTCCGTGAAAAAATCTGTAACCCCCATGACTCTAAAATCCCTAGTCTCTACGGACTCCCAAAGATCCAGAAACCAGGGTTACCCCTTCGACCTATTGTCAGCACAATTGGTTCTCCAACATATTCTCTAGCAAAATATCTAGCTTCCTTATCAAAAACCCCTTACAGTATTACATTAGATACACAAGATATTCTAGTTAGTTTCGACGTAGAATCCCTGTTTACCAAAGTTACTATTCCTGAAACTCTTAACATCATTTCAGAATATTAAAATCCGAGAATCTGGAACCAAACCTTCTCACCTTAATCGAAAAATGCTTGTCTGGAATATTTATACACTTCACCACAACCTTCCAATAGCAATGGCCGAAAGCAATCCTACATTTGCCACTGTGGTCCTTCCTTACATTCAAAATATCACTGACCACATATCAAAAGTTTTAAAGAAATATAACGTCAAAATCACATTTACCACTTGTCCAACAATCTCTCATCTTCGGCAAGTCAAAGATAAAATTCCATTTGAGATTCAGCTGTTGCCGAACACAATCACGAAAACTGACATAATATTTTATTCGATAAAACTTAAATTTTTGCATTAATCAATTCTTCTATCAAAGAAAAATCCGAGAGTCTATAGGAATCAATAAACAACCTAACAATCTTAACCGCGACTCTGCTCTCTACCTGTCACTAATATGAGAATCAGTCATCCGAGACGGTGTTTATACCCTTCATTTAGCTCCGCCCCCCTAAAACAATATATAAGCAGGTACAGAGTAAAATACGAGCCAGTTTCAGTCAAGCTCTGAAGAAGCCAACGGGATGATTGGCGAACCGTCAGCAAGTTCGACTGAGCAAAAACCAACGCAGCAAGGATCCAGAAGTTTTGTACAAAGTATTATAGTAGCCTGTGGAAGTATCTTGGTAAAAATGAACCAGAATGTTTCTTTGCAACTTCATTGGACTTAATATGTTTCTTCAAATAAGCGATTATGCCCCGACTAGCTTTTGAAATTAGACAAGTAAAGAAATCTTTTGAACATAAAAATTCAAACATATACAACGTGTCGCCCTTAAAGTTGCAATTTTATTCGTAAATAAAAATAAATAAAGCATGATTTTCAAAAATCATTTTTTCTTTCTTTTTTGTGATATGGAATGATTTTAATTTTGGACTTTATTTAAGCTTATGCAGAACTACGAAAAAAGTACGAAACATTTTCAACAATTGGCAATCACGTTAGATATTATTAAATCACACAGATCAGATTTAACAAATTCCTTTGCTTTTTATTTTAGAATAATAATTCTCTGGAAAATACATCCAGTTGTAGAAAAACTGCCCTGGTAATGGCGGTTAACGGTAAAGTAATTCACACGCACGCAACAATCATCTACAGAACCCTCGAAGGTCACCTGGCAGCGCTCACATCAATAGGGGATTAAAATTCTTTTGCGTGGCTTAAAACGAATAAATGAATTAATCGCCGCTTGGCGTGTTAGCACGGGGTAGCTCGTATTTAATAAAAATCTAATATTTTAACATCGTTTCGATCAATTGTGATATTTTATATTATGCACAGATTACGAAGTAACGCCAAAAAAACTAGAACCACTATATGAAGAATTTTATGTTTTATATAGTGCCTTACCAAACGCATCTTGAATTTGAAAAATTTAGATTTTAAATTTTAGATTGAATACTTCTGTTTCGTATTCTATTGTTTTCTGAATGATCCAAAAAAAATTTCTGACATTAAATTACATTGGTTATGCATGATTTCATCATATTTTGTACTCTGAACACGGAATTCAATTTGTCAAATAAGTAAAGCGCATAGATTTTGAATAAAATGTCCGTTTTATTAAATCAAAAAAATATTACGGTCTAAGTTATACAGTGGAAAATGTTGATTTTACTCCTACAAGTTATAAAAAATATCAGTAAATTTATCTCATTATGGTGATAAAATACAAGTTACTTTGTAGTTTTTTTTTCATATATATATATATATATATATATATATATATATATATATATATATATATATATATATATATATATATATATATATATATATATATATATATATATATATATATATATATATATATATATATATATATATAGTGTCATCACATTTTTCCATCCGTGAATATATATATATATATATATATATTCACGGATGGAAAAATGTGATGACACTATATATATATATATATATATATATATATATATATATATATATATATATATATATATATATATATATATATATATATTCACGGATGGAAAAATGTGATGACACTATATATATATATATATATATATATATATATATATATATATATATATATATATATATATATATATATATATATATATATATATATATATATATATATATATATATATATATATATATATATATATATATATATATATATATATATATATATATATATATATATATATATATATATATAGTGTCATCACATTTTTCCATCCGTGAATATATATATATTCACGGATGGAAAAATGTGATGACACTATATATATATATATATATATATATATATATATATATATATATATATATATATATATATATATATATATATATTCACGGATGGAAAAATGTGATGACACTATATTCCGGGATATCATCCGTTCGCTTGTTGAACTCCGACTGGAATCCTGCAGACGTTTCGCCAAAATCTCACTTGGCATCTTCAATGCTCGCGCTCCGAAAACACTTCGAACACTGTGATATATGATAGTTAAACAAATACTAAGATTCTATAGACTATATTCTGACTGTTCTATTCTGGCATTGATTGGAGATATCTTGTATCCACGAGCATTTCGGTCTTCCTAGTTTTTCTGGTGTCATTTTTTGGACATGGCGATTTAACTTGCCTATCCCAGATATTTGCAACAATATCCCATCTAATTTTAATCATCTTGGAAACATGTTGTAGTAAAGAGATCCTTCCTGATCTAAGCCGGAAGTTCCATTTCTGTCATCCGAAGTCATCTTTTTTGTTCATTTATTTTACCTATATGGCATTACACCTTCTTCGATTGCAGTTTGCATTGCTTATTATATTTCTAGATCATAGAATTGCGTTTAGTGTTTCAAATATTTTTTACATCTTCTGGTGCTATCTATTTTAACTCCAAGATGTTGTCCATAGTAGATAAGCCACGAAATTTGTTTTGACTGGCAAAAATATATGGTGGATCTATTTGGTAAAAACAACTAGCAAACAAACTAAGTTGCTTATGGTGATGATTACAAGAATAATAATTATTGTTACTTCCATTAAATTATTATTAGTATTTATAAAAAACCGGCAAATATTAATTCTCACAGATTTTTTAATTTTGGTTTCGCTGGTTTTAGACTTCAAATAAGCTGTTTTTCTCCTTCAAATGATTCGTGAAACAAATTTCGCACGCGTGAAGCAACGTTCAAATTAAACTAAACACCCAAGTACTGATGGAAATCAAAAACAAAAACAGCGATGAACAAATAGTAGAAGCGGTAGTTAGCAAGCATCAGGCTTGCAATATTTTAGCTGCCTCTCTTCTGGTAAATATGCTCCCCAGCCCGGCTCGGCTTATTCATATCGCTCTCCTAATTCGTTTTACCATTTTTGTTGGAGTGGCCTTTGCAACAATTTTCCATTTGCACGAAAAACAAATACACCGCGAGGTAATTAAAACACACAAAACAGTGCCTTCTCTATTTTATATACATAAAACGATTCCGTAAATTAAAATTAGTTCATTCCCAGAAGACGAATAAATATTTAACTTTCGGTTTACCTTCCCAAAAGGATTAGATATATATCCCGAGACGTAGCCCCTACAATTCGAGATGAATTAATTTGAGCAAGCTCCTGTTGCTGTTAGTTAATTGTTTGGCATTTTGAGCGTTCCCAGCTAATTGATTTACTAATATTTCATTTAATTCCCAGCATTGCATTGAAATTTTCGTGAAAATCTGAACTTTTAGTTCTTATTTATTTTGATAAATGGATTTTCATCAAGTAAAAGCCACCTCAGTTCAATCGATGCAGTACTTGGTTAGATTTTTCTACAGCTAATAGAAACAGTATTAGAAGAAATTTGCATAATACGTTTGCTTACTTTTTACAAAACTTCTGGATTGCTCCTGCGTCGGTTTTTGTTGACTCGAACTAGCTAACATTTCGCCAATCATCTTGTTGGCTTCTTCGAAGCTTGACGGAAACTGGCTCGCATTTTACTCTGTACCAGCTTTTA